GAAAAGGCACTTGAGTGAACACTATATGACAAATGTGGTAATAACTATCCCAAATGTATCACTTTCGAAAGCTTAAGCAAGCTAGCATTTAGGCGAATACCAGAAGTCAGCGAAGCAAATGCAGGAAGAAGCGAAATACGTGCGACAAGCTTCACATGCGTCTGCGGATTAAAGAACAGTTGCTGGATTTAAGATCTAACAGCAGGCAGGGAATAAAGGAAATCTTCAGTTTGCCTTGGATACTGGTAATAGAAAAAGTCTGAATGTGTTATATTTACAGGTTGTTTTTTTTTTTTTTTAAATCTTGGAAAAGTTATGAGAGCTACAGTTCCTAAGCGGAGGATCTTGTTTCATGATACAATAAAAGGCAGGGCCTGGGTAAGATAGTAACAGAATCCCTAATTAAAAGCCAGGATACTTTACAGTTGAACATGAGCCTCTTGAAGTATCCAAAGCACCTTTACATCCAAAATGTCAAGCTCTTGATTAAATAAGCAGAACATACTTTTGATGATAATTAAAGATGAGCTTCAGTCAAAATACTGGATTTGTATTTGGGCCAAACTAAACCTTGGATGCAAACCCTCACTCTCTTTTTGTTTTAACATATTCTGATCCGAACTGGGCTCTAAGCCACTGTTACCAACCAACTCAAGTGCTTTACTTGTTGCATGTTAAGATTGCAAAGCTGTTCATGAACAACAACAGTAACCCTGTTGCGAGACGGATCATATTAGATCAGTAAATTGAGACACAAAGTTAAAAACCTCTTCTTTTTCAGAAATGAATGTCAATTTGGAGCATCCGCATCTTTGGGCAGCCAACGGAGTTTTTATTTTTTTTTCCCTGCTGCACACAGTATTCACAGTTCCAAAGTAAACTATGTAATTTCTCATTAACTCTGAAAATTGACGTTTAGGTGTCTCAGGTAGGATCCAACCAAAAAGCAACATTTAATATGCATTCCAATCTTGAAAACATGGGTCTAGCTTCCTTTTCTGAATTCATACAGTGAGTCATTTCTAGGACAGGAATAAAACCTTCTAAGATTCTCGGTCGCCATCCTTAAAAATAACTGAAAGTTAGGGGGTCAGATTTTTCAGTAGGATAAATGGTTGCATTCAACTCAATGAATCCAACAATTTATTCCAGCTGACGATCTGCTGGTGGTTCTCTAAAGCACCAATACAGCCTAAATATGATTCAGTCACCCAACTATATTTTTTTCCTCCAATTCTGAGTGGAGGAACTTAGCTTGTAACAGTGAAATGTACTTGAGGGATTTGGAAATGAATACGGAGCCACAAGAGATGGACTGTCCTCTGTGCAGGGAATGGGCTCCAAGGGTTCGTGACAGACGAGTTCCTCCAGGTGAGTTGAACAGAAGTCTTCCCAGGGACCAGCTGGAGGCAGGGTGAGCCCTTTCTGCCAGCACTGGGAGCAGACTCATACTGCAACCTGCCCCTTCAAGGGCAGAATTAAAAGCAAAAAAAAGGTATTTAGATGGCATCAAACGAAATCTCACATGATCTAAAGCCTGAATGTTTTTAAAGAGGTTCACTCCAATAAAATGTAGGATCATCTGATAATAAGATGACATTGTGCTTGGCAGAGTTCAGAACTAGAACTGGAAGCAATCCTGATCACTGTATGTATTTATTTTTTTTTTTTAACATATCTTCAGAACTGGACCAGACCAGCTGCTCTCTGTGCAGTGTATCCTGTCTGAAATTGCAGATGCCTGAGGATGGTCAGATGAAAAGGACACCCCCAGCAGTCTGTCACCAGTATAACTTCCAGCAATCTTTGTATTTATTTAATAGCCTTCAATGGATTTTTTTTTCTTCCTCAAGAATTTACCTAATCACCTTCTAAATCCTGTTTCATGCAGCCCCATGAGAATGCTAATCTAATTTTGGTCTCTAAGAGATGTAACACAAAAACAATAGGAGGCCCAGGAAAGAATAAAATCATTTTCCCAACAGATATTACAAAAGCAGGCAACGACTCCAGTCCAGTGATGAAGAAAATTACTAAAACCATTCATTACAAAACAACCCAGCACTTCCTGCTTTGAAAAATAATGTATTTAGACTACTTTGCAGTTTTGAAAAAACCCCACCCGTAATCCCTTTTTTAAGCTTGTGATATGGATGTTTCTTTCCTCGGTGCCATGACATGAACTTTAAAGTGTGCCTCTTTGACTGGTCCTACTTCTGGGGTTAACTAAAAATGCTCCTAAACCCAAAGATCCTTGGATCAGTCATGAACGAGAGGAATGAGGACAAACGTTCCCAGGGCGTCACTACTCATTGCTTAGAACAGGAGAATTAGCTCAAACACGTCCCTTCTGTGAATTCATGCCACTTGCTCTCAATTAAATTACCAGGGTTATATTACCGGGCTCTACGTATTTCACAATCTTTGTACACTCTCCTGTGGCAATCTCCTGCAAAATGTTGAAAATTGGTTTTGAAGTTCTACACTTACAGGTTTGTTGCCATCATGTCATAAATTGATTTGCAAAAGAAAATAGTATTTTCCTTGTTTAAATATAGGTGAACTATCCCTTTTAATAAACTCTCCCCTAGTACTTTAAAAAAAAATAAAATATACATATAGGGTCTTTTTTCTTTTTTTGGCATGTCTTGCATCCTATTTAGTAATTTCCAGCTGTTCAAAGTGCAAACAGTTGAGCGTATACTACACAGTTTTACGGAGCTCTATGTAACCAGGGTGGAAATTGGTGAGATTGTATACGCCTTTCTATTTATCCAGACTTCCAGAAAATGCAAATAGCAACTTCCAAATTGAAGCCAAAGTAAAATATGCTCTTAAAGGCCCTTTTTAGATGGTATTAAGATGAATCTTTTTTTCCTTCTCTACCTGACAAATAATTTTCTTTTCTCTCTTATTTCAACCCTATTTTATGTTATATAACATTTTTACACTTCCTTTTTGTATTCATGTTAATGTATTTGCTGCTATTTCCCTTTATTCTTTCATTCTCATTGAAAACGCTAAAACACGCTGGATTCTTGCTTCATAACGTGTCTTTAAGATAACATAGCTCCTGTTGAAAATGTTCCTGGGAGAGAAGTGATTACTGAGCTGAACATTTCAGAGGCTCTTAAGCTGACATCAGGTGCACAAAATGTGCCAGATTTCCTATTCTGCTTGTGTAAAAGAAGAAAATACTCAATTGAGACATCTGCAACATGACTTTTTTTTCTTCTCCTGCTGTTCCTCCTGACCCCAAATCAAGGCTGCTATTGCCTTTCTGAATACATTACTCCTTATCTGAAAAGCCATTTAGTTGCAAATCCAAAACCTTTCCATTTTTACTGCATGTGCCTGTATTAGCCATGGTAAAGGCCCGTAACAGAGCAGTTCAAATGTTGGACTAACGACCTCTCTGGTATTTCTATAGAAATGCTCTGTTAAACACCCAGGCATTTCAACTTTCAGTCACAAGACCTATAAAAAATTCACACTCTGAATCTCTAGTTTCAAACCACAGCACTGCATCATTAAGAGCTTTTCAATCCTCTCACCACACACACTTTATGAAGGGGGAGGGGGAAGAGGGCTTTTATCTTCCTGGCATTTAAATTTCACATTTTCTTCTCCTCTTGTTTGCATTTCTAAATAGTTCTGGAGGTTGGCAAAAAAACCCAACCCAAACCAACAATGTAAGCCTGAATTTTCTTTTATTCTATTAAAATATAACATTATCTAAGAAGCTTTTAGCTAGATATTTAACTAAAAATGAGAACAGGTGTAAAAACCAAGCTTTATCATATAAGTAACTTTTGCCTTAATTGTGGCTGTCTTTCAGAAATTATAAAACTTCTATTTCAGGGCTGAAAGACAAGACTACCCCTGACACAGGGAAGTACCTGGAAAAACAATGTGCAGTACGCATTGCTTTGATCGGGCCTTTAAATTGAGTTTGCTAGATTAGAATAAGAGGGTTTTTTTGAAGTATGTTTATATTTTCCAGTAAAAATATGGTTATTTTAGATAACACTTCTGTAAACCAAATTTGAATATAATGGGACTTCTGGGTTGGTCTCTCAAATGTTTAAAATGACTCTTTCTGAAGAGCCTCCACATATGTTCTTCCCACTCACTGTAGCCCTGCCTCATGTCATGCTTCTTCTTTCTACCTTTGTTCATTGCTTTCAAAGCAATTTTTATAAATGTCCATTCTTCCTGGTCCTCAGTTTGATCGGCTCCCACTCGCCCTGCCTCCGGCACGTATTACATCTGTTGCCTCCCGAAAGGGTTATGTGCACTCTGGGAGGAGAGATGCCCTCCTCTCCTTACCTCTCTGACTGCAAGGAAGCTGCAGTCAGTCCTACAAAGGAACCCCTGTCCCCAACTGACTGTCGCAGGAGTTCCGTCCTACACACCAGACAACAGCGATCTCATGTACATCACAGGCTGAAATACCATGATGTTGTGCTAAGTTCTTAGCTTTCTTCATGTTCCTTTCCTCCATATGTTTTGTTGGGGTTTTTTTCTTCACTTATTCAATGACAGCTTTTGAGCGTTAGTAAGTGAAGAGGATGGAAACAGATTTATATCTTATCACCAATAATAGCAGAGCTTGCTAAAATGTCATCCATGTAGCATTTTGACAATTTGCTAAAAGCCTCTCTCATCGGCAGGAAACAGAGAAGCAGTTCTAGGAAGCCACAGAACTCCCACGAAAACAGATTTTGCCTCTGTACCCCTCTCCAGAGCAATTTTACTAAACAGCCTGCCTATTTTTGAAGGGACTAAAATGCCCTCCCTCTCTCATCGCTCCTCGTACGTTCCTTGGGCGGCGAAGCGCCCAACGAAACCGCTCACCTTCCCACAGGCGGGACCTTTTCCCCCTCCGTCCCCCCCCTCAGCGGCGACGGCGTCCCAGACACCCCCCCCGCCCGACACTTAACGGCACTCAGGGAAACTTTCCCCCCCACCCCGACCTTCTTCTGGCGAAGTACCCCGAAATGAAGCCCGTCACGGCCCTCTCGTTCACAGGCGGCGGCGGGGCAGGGGGGGCCGCCGCAGAGCTCTCCCCCTCCCCGCCACTCCCGAGCGACCGTGCCGGGGGACGGGCTTCGGCGGGCGCTCCGGAGGCTCGCCGGCTGCGTTGCGTGTGTCTGTGCGCTCCCCTGTGCCCCGGGAGCGGGCCGCTGAGGAGAGCCGTGGC